TTTTTCAATTGCGATCCTTCATTGGAAAAATTCATGGTTTTGGCCTCTTTTTTGAGTTCCCTACTTATGCCGCGTGTTCATCCCTTTTGAGCTCTGTTGATGGTTCGCGGGATTTGCTATTGTAGGAGAATAAGCCGCGTGCGCACATATATGAAGATAGTATTATGTAGGTATGCATATGTGGTTATTTACAACTATCGTAATGTCCTTGAGAATTGATACTTAGAATTTTGCCCTTACAGGTGACATTTACGTGGTGAATAATTCGAGTTCTTGTGCGTATCAGAATTCCGCATTGATGCCGTTTTCATTTGCCATCGGATTTTTGCACAAGTGTTCATTTAAGTAGCATAAGAAATGGGGGAGAAATAAATGTGAAAAAATATTTTTTCAAGTCGCACGTGGATTCTTTTTTTTTTTTGCTTCACTATTTTACGTTGCATTCATTTTTTCATTACAAACGTTTAAAAAATTGCAATCGCGGTTATAAAATTTATGTTTGCGGATAAGTCCCTTTAATTGTTTTTTACGCCTTTAAGAATTTTCATAATGTTTTCATACATTTTCCCATGTTTTGAAATGGATAATTTGAGGAAGGAATGCTTACGAGCATATTATGACACCACAATTTGAACGCTATATTTTTTACACAATTGTGTCCCCTGTTGGAAGAAACTTTGTTAGGAATTAAAATGAAAAAGGGTGAGAAAAGAACCATTTCTGACAGATAAGTTTTACCACAAAAATTGAAGCGGAAAAAGCAAAGTTCCTTTCATATCATTAAAATGTCATAAAAACGGTAATGAACTGTTGTAGGTTTTTCATATGCAAAATAAAACAACGGGCACTATATTGGCAGGGAACCCCCCAACAGCTTATGGAGTATGAAATGTGGGTACGGATTTTATGAAAAATTCCCCCTAAATTATGGGTAAAATGGAAATTTCGTTGTAATTTTTTGGAGTAGTCCCCATATTACGTCGGATACATCGAGGCGTGGATAACATTTCAAATGTGGAGTTGCACCATATTATATTGGAATGGATAGCCTTATGAAACTCCTTTGCAAGTGTTCCAAATATGCTCCTTGGAACGAATAAGGAATATGTATTACCAATTTTTTCGGTATGAGCAGAATTAGCGAAATTTCCTGTTTCCCCTAAATTTTGTACCAAATTATGGTACCATTCGTAAAAGTGCTGCATCAGCTTTAAGAGGAATCTTTAACATTTTGAAACAATATAAAGTGTACCTTTGTGAATAGAAGAGATTTCCTCTTAAAACATGACCCACCTTTGGTTGAAATTGATTCATTTGAACGTGTAACGTTGTGGAGGAAAAAAGAGAAGGGGGGCCTCTTACATGAATGCACAAGACATTATTTGCCATAAGATTGCAGCGTAATTGTTGAATTTTCTCCAAATTCGTGTTTTATTTTGGGCAGTATAAAAATTGCAAAGATTGAGTATATAATAGGCTGTTGTATTAGCACTGTTACACGCCGTGGAAAGTTTCAGGCCTGCTTCTCCCTCTATAAGCGCAGTCGCAAATGGCCATATCCATTATTGTGTATAAATACGATGCCTAATTAATGAGGCATGTCTACATTTATATAGCAGGAATGCGCACCTAGGAATAATGTAGATCGTGGAATTTGTGGGAACACATATGGATATCGGTAATCCGATATTATATCAACGCATACGAGGTATTTGTTTTCATTATGTTTTGCATATTTATGAATATACATGAACACATAAGCTGCAGATGTTGCTTATTTTTTGGGCCCTTGAGAGAGTATAGTTCAAAGGATGGGGCTTATCGCATAACACTTGTCCTCTTAACTTTGCTTAAAAAAATATTAGTTACATTTTACCAAAGCAGAAAATATGAGAATACCTCTTTAAAGAAGTTTATACAATAAAGTGCCATTTGCGAAGCAGGGAAAATAAAACGGATAAAAGAAAATAAAAGTATACACTCGTAAAAAGAAAAGAAAAATGTGAGTTCGAATTACATGCTTCTAAAAGTTTTGAATTTAAGAAAACAGAAAAAAATGGTTCTATTGGAAGTTGCGAATTGGAAACATTGGCAACATTTTATACAGGCACGTGTGAACTGGAATAGCATTAGAATTATTCACTATTAAATAATAATTTTCTGAATAAATAATAATGATATTTATATAAAGATTTTTTCCTTTCTAATGCAATATTGCTACATTATTTGTTTATTAAAAGGAGGCAAGTAGACGGCGTGTACACTTTGCCAAAAATGGAAATATGAACATTCGTTAAGAGGTTTTTCTATTAGTATTTTCTAAAGAGCATATAAACTGTACACCACCTCATGTATTATTTTATTTTTACAAATTATCTTTATTGTAAGCTCCACAAAACTACCATTTTATGCGGGATAGAATCCTTCAAATGGAGTTCCCCTTAAAAAAAATAAACTCGAAATATATTATTTATTTTAAATATGCTATAACGGAAACGCACTAATTATAGGTATACCCCCTGGCTGACAACTTCTAAGGATTCCTATTAAAGGGAGTACCATAATTAATTATCAGTGTCGCATTGATTGAAATGGTACAGCCTTTTCTTTACTTTTCATGTACACTAACAAGAATAGAAATAAATATGAGAATTTTCTGTCATTTTAGAATTTAGTTTTCATGTATAGATTAAAGAATAAATGGCTGAATTCATAAATTAATATTCTGGATGATGGTGATGATCAAACATTTTCCAAGTGGTAGATAAAAGAAACTTAAATGAAGACTCTAAAAATAATTTATCTTACATAATATATAGTATTATATAATTCGTTATCCCTCATATAGAGACACAATTTTTACATATCCTTCTTTTTCATCTGAGCATTGTAAACAATGTTTGGTACCTAAGTATGAAATTAAATATATTAATGAAATGCCTCTACTCCAATGTAATCATATTTGTGTGAGGCAAATAAAATATGTGCTCTTCCCAGATTGTGCACTGCTGATGGTATTAATCCTTTATAGCATCTTTATTCGGACCATTTTTTTTATGGTGTTTTATCACCCTCACGTTATGCAGTGAAATATTAAAAATAATGCAATAATAGGTATAATGTTTAAGTAATAAAAAAAAGGATTCATTTCGAAAAAGGGGAGGGGGTTTGACTGGGTACATGGTGTAAAACGTTAAAAATAGGCATCAGAGGATAAAAAACTCTTGCTTGTGGTTTTTATCTAATTTTATATAACTCCCTGCGATTACATAGAAGTATTATGGGAAATATCGCATATGTAATAAATGATTAACACAGGGCCTATGCAAACACCGCGTGAAAGGAAAGGACAAAGGAAAAAAAATTTGCAATTTTAAAATGAGTAAAGGAAAAGTATCAAAAAAGAAAAAATCAATTGAAATTTTTCAAATTTTATGGAATAAAATTCATCTTGATTTTTTCATTCGATTTCTTGCAAAAAATTTTACTGTGTTTTTAATTTGTGCTTTTTTATGCGTATAAACAAAATCAAGAAAATTGAAGCAGTAAAAAAGAATTCTGTACAAATCAAGCTATGAATTTTCTTGTTTTTGTTTATTAGTATTAAATAGTACATTCTAAATGCAAAGTTTTTCTTTGTTTAAAGAATTTCTTTTAACGATAGTAAATTTTATCTCTATTATAATCACATAAAGTAGACCAATTTATTGCTTGGGAATTTTCATTATAAGGATGAAAGTATCCTAGCAAATAAAAAAATAATTTTTACAAACAAAAATAATCACTTTTATTTGTTGTAGAATTTTAAGTATGATAATCTGTTCAATTGTATGCTGTATCATTTAATTATTATTTAGAGAAAGCATCATGCTGAAGTAAGGAGTTATTTACTCACAAGGAAATCATTTAAGAAAACAATTGTATTTACTTCTTAAAGTGTACAATTTTTTTATTTAAGGGTTTCTATATAATTGTAGTAAATATTCTTAATTTTTAGTAGGTGCAATTAATTCCTATCATAAAGTTATATGAAAACATAACTGAATGATTAGGAAAATAACATGGTAAAACATCAGCTGTTAATTGTT